TTTAATTTATGCACTTTAGTTTCAAAGTTTATCTAAAAAGTTCAAGAAAACTAAGAACATGCGGATCATTGTCTAATAACAGGAAAATTTTGATAAACCTAATTCACCTCCTCTCTTAGGTTACAATCTTAACTTACATTTAGGTTTGAAAGTAACATTTTAATATTTTCCACAACTTTAACAATTTATGTTTTATTTTCCACAATTTAGCAATTTCTGTTTTTGAATATTTTTAGCATTAGAGTTTTTTTCTTCCTGTATTTAAACACTTTTGGGTGTCATCGTCAATGTCATCTTATAACATAATTAAATTTAATAGTTTTTTTTCTGGTAGATTCCAGAGATTTATCTAACAGATTTGTCGCTTGCAAACTTGTGTTTTCGTTCTAGACGTAACATTTGCTAATCCTTCGTGATTCCTCCTACTACGTCAGACCCTATTACTCCACTCTTCTTATAAGGTGGATGATAGAAGTGTTCATGGTGCGGGCCGACCTACAAATCCATCGATCCAAACTAAACAAACTATAAATTATCTAAATTTAAATTCAATTTAATCCGCAATAATCTATATAGTTTTGACTCAGATATTAGATTTGAGTTTCTCAAACTGTGAATGTGTTGACCTAATTTGTTGATGTGTTTAATTATTTTTTTATTTTTATTATTATTTTAAATGAAAATATAAAATTAATATATAACTACAAATCACAATTTTATCAATTTTTTTATCACCATAAATATTACCACTAGATCAATAAATTTATGTAATTTTAAGACTAAGTATTATTTTTTATTTTCTTTTATACCATTTTCAATTTACGTATTTTATAAAATTGATGTGTTTTGTGAAATTTTTATTTTTGTTAAATGTAATGGCATATGAATTGTATTTCATTCAACTTGAATGTCAAAAATGTAACATATAGACAATATAATTTATATACGTAATATTTTAAAATTTAAAAAGAAAAAACTCACTTTAGTCTAATATATTAATCCAGTCAGTATTATAAGCTCCCCTAGGCTCCCAAAAAAGTCCCAACACTTTCTACATTATTTATCATCCTAGTAGAGTTTCCTTGATTAATTAATTAATTACGCGTTTAAAGATGATTAATTAATTGCATTTCCTTGATAATCACTTAGTATTCTTCTGTCACAAATGAGAAGCTGATGTGAAGCAAATCATTGCCATAAGTATTAACATATGATTACATTTCAAGAATCCTTAACCATATCATGAAGTTAACAACACTTGACCTCAATAGTAGCTAGGACTAATTAATGGTAGCAAGTTGTTTTCAAGAAAGCAACAAAAATTGGGTAATAATAGTATTCCAATTCTAGAGTCATGAACTTTCTTTTGAATCTTGAAGTGTTATAAATCATACAAAATTACAAATAGATGATGATGATTTTGCTTCTATTTTGGCTAACTTGGTGGGGGTACTTAGTATACACGACCCTCTAACAACTTGCACTTTCACTTATAGTAGCCCTTGAATTTGCCCAAAAGATTAAGTCCTTTGGTTCTGTCTCCAACTACTACCCTAACATGTGACCCCAAATCTAAATTCCATATTGAAAATATTTCATATATCTATCTATCAACTTTTGACCCTTTAAGTCCATATTCCTCCTCTCCTATATTCATGCATAAAATATTAATAAAAATTATTAACTAAAATTGTTCGGTTAAATCAACTCAATCGATAGATAGAAATATAAAACATCTGAATGCAGAGACGTGAGTTCCAATACGCAACATCTCGCAACATCTCATTTATTTCTCTAGAAGAGGTAGAATTTTGATCTAAACTAATTAATCAATTTTTTTTAATTTCGATTTCAACCCTAAAAATACAGTATAATCTCTAAAGTCGTAAAAACTATCTTTGAGAGCGTGCAAGTCGAATTAATGTACAAGATCTATAATTTCTCAGAGTTAAAATGTAGTTAAATAAAACCTCATAAAATATTTATCGAAATTAAATCATAATTAAATAGAATCTTCATTTATGTTTTCTTGTTAAATTATGTCTTAATTTACATAATTAAGTAGAAAATATTCGATTTATATTAAAATATAGTTGTGTGGTGATAATAATATAGGCTAATTTGTAAAGGACAAGGAAACAATATTATGGTCAAAAAATGGGTCAAATAAGAAAGAAAGATTTAGTTGTATTAACCTAGAATCAAAAGTGACATAAAAGGGGTTCAAAAAAGCTTCTATCATTTTCCATAAGTTGGAGAACCCACATTGCCCATCCTTATTTGAGAGCATTCTATGGCCCATTAAAATGTCTTTTACTTCTATAGAATTTCATATAGGTACAATGCATCTAAATTCTAACCCTTCTTTTATTTCAAAAATGACAACAAATATGCTATGTAATCTTATAAAACATATTTCTTTTCTTCAATCATTCACAAAATGAATTGGCAACATCGACAAAATTTTATGAATTCATTATAGTTTTTAAGTGGGTTCCATTGATACTATTTTTCCTTTCTTGGATTTGTTTGTGCTTTGTCATATTATAAATGCTTTCACTTTGTTGCAATCACGTCTCATTGAACTTGCCCAATTTGATTATTTGTTTATAAACAACTTTATCAACAATCTCTTTGTTTTACCGACAAATAATAATATGTTTGAATTGCTTATTGACAAAGCATGAGTCTACTTCATTAACAACTATTTTACAAGACCATTATAGCAATTTTTAAACCATATAGAGCATTGACTAAAATTATTATAAGTTCAATTGAGATGATAAAAAAAATCGATTATATATTTGTGGAACTTAAATTCAAATATAAATTTCTATAACAAAATAAATTCAAATGTAAATTGAAGTGGTAACTAAATATTAGGTCTTTCAATTATACGCATTTTTTCTTTTTTGTCTTTTTTTTTTTGCAATCATTTAGAGGCAATTTTAAATCTTCACAAAATTTCAATATATATTTTGTGACAATTTAAAATCGCCGATAAATGATTTGAATCCAAAATCTCTAAAATTTAATAAATTCTTAAATTTTGTGACGGTTTAAAATCATCGCTAATGGTTGAAATTCACGTGAAATTAAATGAAATTAGAAACTCCAAGCTTTGGGGAAACACCCCAAAAAAGAAGCTAATCAAGATGAGTTGGTCACTAAGTATATATTGATAAGATTTGATTAATGACACTTTCTAGGTAGGGTCACATTATCACAATGTCAAAAAGGAATTATCCACACCCCTAATAAGTCTAGGAATATACCTTATGAGGTAAAAAAATGTAATCATTCCTTAATCAATTATTTTTCATTCTACTCAAATGAAAAAACATGTCGATAAAATTTGTGTTGCCGTAGGTCCTACAAAACATGGGCATCCTATTTCATCCATTATGGAATTGGAAACTATTCTATCTGGACAAAAAAGAAAAAAAGATAATTAACACAATCACGTGAATAATTTTTCACAAACTTTTTTTAACAAAACTTTACCAAGAACAAAAATCTAGCAAGATTTAGGAATTTGTTACTTATATATAATTATTATTATTATTTTATTTAATAATTTAATCGGAGAAAAAATATTTTTTAAAAGATAAATAAGTGAAATGATATATGTTCAAAATCTCACACCCACCATTTATCAATTAAATTAAACTAACTGGAAAATTATATATAATCATTTATTAAATAACTTATTGATTTTAGAAATATTCTCATCGGGTTAGTCTTTTACATTGGTATAGTCGACAGAGTTAAATTTTAATAATTTAATCTAAATTAAAATTCGATTTAATAATTGAAATTTAGTTGAATTGAATTAGCATTGTAAAAGAATGCATTTTTATTGAAAAATACATAATAGTTTATAATTTATATATTGAATTGATTAAAACTTTCTTTTTGGTTTATTTTATGGTTTTTAATTTTACAATGGAATGAAGAAAAATGACATAAAATTAGTTATCATTTCAAAATTAGGTTATTGTATTGATGTATGGAGAAAATATTTGTTGTATTTTGATTCCGTGAAATTGATGGGATGGAAAAGTGGTCCTTCGATTGGAGTGCATTGCATCAAGTTCAATTCTGTTTTATTCAACTAGACAACTATCCAAATTTTATAAAACCTATTTTTATTTATTTATGTATTTCAATTTAATTTAAAAACATATGATATTTCTCTTTTCTTCAAACTAAAACAACATAATACAAAGAGTATTCCTCTCAATATTTTGAGTTTGACTCTCGTTAAATGTTAACAATTTTATATTAAATTAACTCATATAGTAATTTGTTCTGATTTTAAACAGAATTCCCGCTAATAAATAATGAGATTAATCATTTTAAATTAATCGATCACAAGATTAGATACTAAAATTTGAAAAAACAACAACGTAATGTTATTTACATCCTCTCTTTGGATCATTACTTCTAAAGCTTTTTCACATCACTTCAAGTTGTATTTAATAAGTTAATGTTTTTAGAATTTTGTTCTCTAAAATTGAAAAAAGAAAAGATGTGGCATATTAAAAGTGATAACATGATTTAAAAGTATTTGAATGACATGATAAAGATCTGTTGAAACTTAATCTTAAATTTACAACATTGTTAAATTTTTTAAGAAATAATTTTAATATTTATTTAGTTTTTCTTAGACTCAAGATACTATTAAAGCGAACATTATTATTCTAATTTAAATCGAAATTCGCAATGGTTCCAAAGAGTTTATAACTGTTATTTTTATTTTTTTTACAATAAAAAAAAAGTAAAATTTGCAAATGAAAGAAAAAAATTCCAATCAAGATCCACAAAAAATATAAAATATGTAGCTAGCTATTATTAACTTTCCATTTGATTTTTACACATCTTTGAAACAAGAACATCATCCACTTGTGTTCTTATATATCTGTTGAAAACAAATCAAACATTTTTCATTTCTTGTATATATAATAACTATTGAAAAGTTAAATCATCCAAAATTAAATTCAAAGTGGCCAAGTTGGTTGAAAGCATGAAATTCCACCATATCCTTCTCTCTTATACATTGCTAATTCCTTTGCCTCAGATGCTCTTGCTCTCTGCCACAAATCAAATAAACAAATAAATCTAAAATGAACATTAATGTCACTTTAATTAATAATTATTTTTAATTAAATTAATTTTTTTTAAATCACCAACTATAATAAATTTTAAAATATCCATCACATCAGTTTGAAAGGTTTTCATGCACCCTAACAACCTTACAAAATTAGCATATTATATGCATATGAATTATAAGAATATATGCAATGTATCAATATATATATGAATAAGACCATGACACTTTTAGAAAAAGATTATACCTGCATTGTTTCTAAATCATCTGCCTCTGAATTGAAGTCATAATAAGTACTTGCTGCAGTAAGCTTCAATGAAAGAAACTGCAAAAAAAAAAATAAAAACATAAATTAATATTATTAATTAAAGATATGTTAAAAGTATCTTTTTCTATAATTAAATGAATACTATTACTATGTTATATTGTCTTTTTTTTTTGTTTAATTTTTTATCACTTAATTACCTCTACTTGATGCTGCAATGACTGAACATAGTTTATGATTTCATCCAACATCACTGCCATTCCCATGGTCTGCAATATTAATTAATAAAAGTCAGAAAAAAATAAAATAATATTTTAACTAATATAAAGTTAGAAAAAATTGGAAAATTTTAAAGGAACATAAATTATTAACCTTGTAACATCCTGGAACAATATTCTGCAAGCATCTCAATTTCTCATTGATTTTTCCTCTTCTAACCTGAATAATAAAAAATTAACAAAAAAAATTATAAATATGTATTAGTTCATAATAAGGACTTATATAATAAGTGCTTATGAAAGAAGCACTTAATTAATTAAGCTGAATTTATTAAATTATACCCTTTCTGCTAAACTGTGACTATCAGTAGCTTGACCTCTTCTTGCTCTAACATGAACAACTTCCTTTGCTTTTTCTTCTTCTGTTTCATAGCTTTTCACTTTTTTCCCTCTTCCACCACACTAAAAATTAATCAAAAAAATTATAAAAAAAAAGTTAATGATTTTTTATCATAAAACATGAAGAATAAAATGAATAAAAGAAAAATAATAGAAAAAATTTTACAAGTTTGGTTTTGCTTCCAGTTTCAGAAACTGCAGGAGTTGAATTCGCCGAACTAGTCTCTTGAAAATCCATCATTTTCCTCTTTTTACCACCATCATGAATATCTTTATTTTCTTCTTGAAAATTTTGAAGTGAAACTTGAACTGCATTGTCGTGATTATTAACATGATGATGATGATGAACAAGACCATTATAATTCTCTTCCATGTTTCTTGGAAACACATGTTCTTGTTCTTGTTCTTGTTCTTGTTGATGATGTTGTTGTTGATGATGTTCCAAGATGCTGTTGTCACAAGAAAAAGGCATCAAATTCTGCATCATGTTCATGTTAGAATTCTCCATGAATTGATTCAAAAGTTCCATGCTTTGATCAGAATCAAGAAAAGGAAAAGAGGGTCTAATAATATTTTGAAAGTTTTCTGTGAATTCAGCCATGTGTGATTTTTTTTCTTCTTCTTCTAATGAGTTTATTATTACTTTGTAATATTGTGGATAAGGTGTAATGTGAGTTACAATTTTGTTGTATTTATAATGTTAGAATTTTTCAGCTGCATTGATGAATAGGAGTAATCTTAGGTGGCCACGTGGCAATTCAAGCTTCTTTAGTTTTTTGTTCCCTTTGTTGGGTCCCTTTTACAAAAAAAAAATGTTTAATATTGATAAGGGTCCATGTTTTGTGAGAAAAAAAGCACTTCCTATTTTTGGAGGTTTTGGACTTTTTATTTATGAACCATGACTGTGTTTGTTATCTTTATGATCTAATTTTATTTAGTTCTAGTGGGAATTGCAAAAAAGTTGATTTTTTTTAGTGGAGGAGTATAGTCTAGGTGCAACTCTTCCATATAACTGCAAGATCTTGTATTTAGGAGAAAACTTTGAGCTTAGTGAATCCTCAAATTTCCATTTGTCTAAAATTTTTATGATAAAAAAATACATTTATCAAGTCAAAGATGTAACCTTTATTAATCTTTGTCCCTCATTTTTATTGATTTGATTTTTGAACTATCCTTTGTCTCATAACATGAGAGGCCAATTTCTATTTGTGACATTTTGATATGTTTTTACTTCCTACATAGTTAAAACGTTAGAGACAAGACATAGTCACTTCTCCTAAATATATGCAATATTGTTTTCCAATACAAAAACTATTCCATTCCATTCCGAAAAAAAGTAGCAATCAAATTGATGGTTACAACATCATTAGTTCATCACCACAGTATCTTTAAGCTTGCAATAATTGTAGCCATAAATTTGAGTTCAATTGATATCATTGATGTCAATTGTTGCACAAGAAGAACATATCCATAAGAGATTGTCACTTTCTTTTGCCCCCCTAACCTCCATTAAAAAACATTACCCTAGGTGAATTTTGATTTTCCTAAGTATTGTCATGTATATTGCATACATACTAACCTGTCATTTAACAGTATGATTCTTTCAAGTTGTTCTTAGTTTGTCCATATTTGAGACCACATAAGCATGTTGTTTTATAATACTATGAATCTATTAGAAAAACTAAAGTGCATTTAAGTGGTGAATGGTTTGAGTTTATTGAGTAGAGTGTGTGCTTTCACACTAAAAAAACACAAACTAGTTCACTATTCACACTTCTATTAGGTATTAATATGTGCAATAATATATCAACATCAACCTTACTTTTAACAATGACTAATAGTTTATGGATACGTGAACATACTTAAATGACCAATTTTAAATGTTGTTGAACAACCGTTTTTAAATCAAATATTCGGTGAATGACAATTGTGATATGCAGAAGTGAAATCTCTATAATAAATTTTTATATTAATCTTGTAAACTAAACCGTAATATTTAAATATAATTTTTGTTTTATAAATTTTAAAATTGATTAATAAAAAAATAGTATTTTCTTAGAGAGCAAATTAGTTTCTTTTTCTTAAAGAAATGGTATAGATGTTTTTATCTTAGAGAGCAAGTTGTGTTATATTTATTTAAAGGCTTTTCAACCTTTCAATTACTACTTTACTACTTTGCCACACAATTCACTAGCCTTTGTTTGCTCAACCTTGCCTTTGATTTGAACATATATATGAAAAATGAATGAACCAAACTTTATAACATGCCTTATGACATGTGGGGTGTGTGTTTGGCATACATCATTTTATTTATTTTTCATTATTAAAAGGTTACATTTCTTGGTCTTATAGTCTAAAGATAGCATATGGGCACTTAAAAGTAGGGGTTGCCCCTATTTACCAAACTGTATATAGCCCTTAACCAAAAATAGATATACAAAAATGGTTTCAACTTTTGTTTGTAGGCATTAACGGTTTATATACAAAAAAGACAAAATGTTAACTTTAGGACAATATATCTTTCCTATAGTAGTAGTGTATACTTTATTATCTCTTTCTAAAACTAATGACACTATGTTTATTTCAAAATCTTAGTTTGGATCCACTTTCCAAGTAGATAAAATTGATTTTATAGTTCAAAAATTGTTATATTCTTAAGTTTTTTTTATCAAGTAGAATTGATGATGAAATAGTTAATAAGAAATTTCTTTCAGCTTAACAAAAGATTTTGATTTTCAATTTAGCTTTAGACACTCAAAAATATTAAATTCTTTTGAAATTTTTTTTTACCGTTTAGGGTTCGTTATCATCTCTACAATTGAACGTAAATAATATTTAGAGTGGGAAGAGGACAGCCTCATGGTAGAATATTCAAATGTAAGGTTGTTTTGAAAATTAATTAATTAAAATGTTAAAGACATATTGAATCAATTTAGAAACATATGAGAGATGTCATCCAAACCAAAAGAGGTGTTGGAATGAGATTATAGATATAGAAAAGGACGAGAATGGTGAATTGATAAAACTGGTTCCGCATCATATACCTAATTTTGAAAACCCTAATTTTATTTTGATAACCGAATTTTAAGTCTCTTTGGCTGGAGTGCAAGGATTTAGTTTGTCATGTGTCACATTCTCTAGATGGAAAATATTCTTCCTTATGATAAACGTGCATGAGTGAACTTGCCCATGCATTTGCATTTATAAGCTTTAACATAAAAACAAAGTTAAAGCCAAACAAGTTAAAGGCATGAAAAGAGTACCATACAAAGAGTGGCTATGGATATGGCTAGTAGTTAATAGGACGGATTTTTACCTAACACATGACATAAATTGTCTTGACTTTTGACATTTGGTAACTAACTTGATGTACTATCAAACATCCTTTTTTTAGTCATGCCTTGAATTTTAAGGTAGCAATTCCCATAAAAGAACCATGTACTAAAATGTTTTATGAAGTTAGAAGAGTTAATTAGTAATGCTAATAAAGAGAGGGTTGGGGAAAGGGTACTATAAGTGTTAGATGAAGATTTTCAGAGAATGTTTGGTGGACTTTATTATAGTACTTTGATGTCTTACGTCAATTTTTAATGAGTGACTTCAAGTGCTAAAAGACGAAAAACAAAGTATGAAGGTTCATTTTTACCAATGGATAGATGTGTTACATTTGAAGTCCTTCAAATATGCAAGACGATACTTAGATATGTTAGGCCTTCTAATTGAGGAGTATTGGAATTGAAATTATCATGATTAGAATCATGAGTAATATATGTAGAATGATTAGGAAAAATAGAAAAATGAGAGTCTATATCAACTATCTACCTAAGCATGGAAGATGCTTAGGTTCTCTCTAATATTTTTTAAAAATTAAATTTACACTACAAAATATTTTTAATGGTAATTGACTAAATCATTAATAATGAACTAATTACATTATTACTTTTATACACTTCACATCAACTTTTCAAATTCGCTTTCTATTATATTGGAACATAGCATTATCCGAGTATTCCTATTACACGGAAGCAACAAAAAGTATATTCGCTTTTTCTCTCATTCTTTGAAACCCAACATAACTGTGAATACCTTCCGTATAAACCCTCAAGCCTAAACCTTCTACTCATCATCCTTTGACTTCGGTTCCACCATCAACAAAACAACCTCCCATTAAATCAAACTCTCACTGTGTTCATCCATGTTAAAAGTATAATTCCTTGTGTCGAAACAGGTTGTTGCTCGAACACAAGGTGTGTCGAAATTTAGTCTGCCGAGTTGTTTAGTGTGTCAAAGCAGTTGTTTCACACAAATTTGATTTAGGTCTAAAATAAATAAGATTTGATTTAGATCTAAAATAGATAGATTTGATTTAGTTCCAAAATAAGTATTTTGGACTTTTATAGTTTTGGACTTTTGGCTTAGTGAGCAAGTTAACCTAAATCTATAAATAGAGGGAGTAATCCCTATTTTTTGTAATCAAGTTGTATTCACACAATTTGCAGTTGCAAGTGAATTGAAAATTTTTCTACAGTTTGTGAAATTCTGCAGAAAAATACTTTCTTTCTTTCTCCATCTTTTATTTTTTTCATTGTCATTGTATGGTGATATCAATCTTGTTCATCAAGATTGGTAGAAATTCATCATAGATTTTGGTGGATTTCCAACATCTGGTATCAAGAGTTCTGGTTGAGCGATCAAGGGAAGAAGAAAAAAATCAATGGCAATGAATTATGCGAATGGAAGTTTTCCATCAAATCTTCCAATTCTGAAAGGTGATAACTATGAGAATTGGTGCAAACAAATGAAAGTTATATTTTGTTTTTAAGGTCTTTGGGATCTTGTGAAATATGGATTAGAACCACTTGATGAATAAACTTAAGAAGAGGTAGAGGCGAAATACAAAGAATTGAAGAAGAAGAATTATAAAGCTCTCTTTATAATTCACCAATGTGTCAGTCCAGACAATTTCGAAAAGGTTAGTGATGTTGAATCTGCAAAAGAAGTTTGGAAAATTTAGAAGAAAATGTTTGGAGGTGTTGAGAAGGTGAAAAATGTGAGGTTACAAACTCACAAAAGAACGTATGAAATGCTTCAGATGGAAGATAACAAGAGCATGTCTTATTTCTTCACTAGGGTTACGAAACTAGTGAATCAAATCAAGGTTTATGGAGAAATGTTAACAATAAGAGTTGTTGTTGTTTCAAAGATCTTGAGATCTTTGGCTCTGAAGTTCGACCATGTGGTAGTTTCCATAGAAGAGTCGAAGGATATGTCAAATTTGTCGAAGGAATAGCTTCAAGGGATGCTTGAATCTCATGAACAAAGAATGTCTGAAAGAGCTGCAGGCAAGTCGAAGAGTGGTGTGGCTCTGCAGGCTCAATCAATGAAAGATAAGAAAGGTAAAGGAAAGTGGTCCGACAACAAAGGTAGAGGTGGCTACAACAATTCGACTGGTAGAGGAAACCAGCACGAAGAAAATATGTCAAATCTGAAAAGACCCCAATACCAAGGCAACCAAAGAGGCGATGCTAAAGGTAGAGGAAGAGACGGTGGTCGAAAATCTGACAAAAGTCACATTTAGTGTTATAATTGTCATAAGTATGA